TTTGTCCCCCCCCCCCCCCCCAAAATAAAAAAATTTGGAGGGTAAATTTGTAAGCATGAGATATTTGAAGTACTCGCAAAACCCTTAATTTTATCGCTCAAATCGAAACTCTAATGACCAGAATATGTGGTTAAGCGTATAACTTCTCAAGTCTTGTTGTTGCCGGCATCATTTGTAGGTCACTAATAATGTGATATCACTTTATAGACAAATCTAATAAAGTCTTTATTTTTTTTATTTGCTAATTTAGCCATAAGTTAAATTAACATATTTTTTTGGGAAATAAACTTTCAACAATTAAACTATCAGAATAAAACTTTGGGCTATTAAAGTTAAAAAAGGAAAAAAATACCTTAAAGTCTAATAAAGAGCTAGAATTGCATCAAACCCCAAAGAAGTCCAAGAAAACTCACCATCCAATGACAGCCATCGCGGAGATCGCCAACATCGCTTCCACCCTCGCATGGAGATCGCCATGGCCGCCTCTGCTGCCATCCCCGCCTTCAGTGTTGCCACCTCCAGGTTTTGGGGGCACGTATAAGCAACCATGAGGGGGTCGAAGATGATTTGGAATTAATAATCTACGTTTGAGTATGATATATTTCTAACTTGATTGCATGTTTAGTATTCTGTTTGAATCTCAAAGGTTTGAACTTTGAATTCAATTTCCCTAAATGTCTGATATTTCTGCAATTTTATATGGGTAATTTGTAACCTGGTTGTTCAATCATTTGGAGGTATATGCTGGTTGTTTCTTTGATTTTGTTGGCAAGTTTTTATTTTTGAGATTTACTACTTTTTTGGGATCAAAATGTTCCTATTTTCTCATTTTAATGTGCAATTTTTTCTTGCTTTATTTATTGTGAGAAGTCGATGGGTTCTAATAGTTTATGTTAGGAGGGGTTGAGGAATGTTGAGTATGTCTAGAAGGCATGGATTGAGGGCGAGGTTATGGACACTTCGTCTATGCTCCTGTATCGACACATATTCATGTTCGACCATCCTTGGAGACTCCTTGACTATGCATACATTTATTCAGATGTGTACTCAATTAGAAAACACATGTTTTAGTTTAAAACATATGTCATGCACTTCTTGGATGTGTATATCTTACACTTCACGTCCACTTCTTGCAACTCGCTTGACTTGGGTCGGTATCATTTCAGCCCATACCCAGTTCAAAAGTATGATTTTAAAGCGTTGTCTCGATATCTAGTTAATATAAATGTTACTGAAATTATTGTTTTCATAACATGTAAATAAAAAACAAAATCGATCTCATTTAAATTACTAACTATAATGTGTATGTATATAGTCATGACCCCGTATCCTACCTTTTACAAAATTTTTGTGTCCCATATTCACACCCGCTGTCGTATTAGCGTCTATACCTGTGTAACATAGATTGAGAGATATTTGTTTTTATTAGTTGAAGTTTAGGAAATGCACATAAAAGAAAGCAAGCATCAATAACTGCAGCTAGAAGTCGTAAAATTATAGAACGGAATCAAAGAAATACAACTACAATTGTGTGATAGTAGTTGCATGAACGGACACTTGCATTGCAAATACAGTGCACGAACCAAATGTTTCCATGATTGGAGATCCAGTGGAATCTAGTGACATGATGTGATGTAGTAGAGAGCTTCAATTTAGTTATAATAAACAATTGGCCTTTCGATGATTTTAAATGATAGTGCTTTTATTTTATAATAACTACAAGGTGTTTGGCAAAGTTATTTATTGAATTGAAGAGCGACTTCTGCACTTTGTGTTACCTTTAAAACAACTTGAAGTTCCTATATGGAATAACTATGGCAATGTGTTTCTGAGGGTACTTTCTTGGCATGAAGGAATTCGTTTAAAGGTTTAACCTTGCAGACTTACTACTGTAGCTAAGTGCATGATGGATCGTTTCTTTTCTTCACCTGCCCACTATTCTAGATGTTATACTGGAACACACAATGACAGAGTACAATATCTACTCCATTATAAAGCATATGCAGAGCAAATTGCAAAGCGGCATTAATTTTAGAGGAGGAGGACTATCTGGATTTAGGATGAAGATGAAACTTAGTTCTTTCAAGAATTGACTCCTTTGAAGAACCAAGCATGTATGCTGATCTGATCAGCCGAACTGAGTCTAGAATTCTAGTTTGAAGGTCTTCAAAGTCAAATGTTCATATTAGTTGTGTAGTTCATATGCAAGCTCTTTGTTGATAGTCCCGTGGAAGGAATTTGTGCATTAGTATCAAGATAACTTGTTGTAGCTTGCAAAGTTTGTTGGGAATAAGTGATGGAAAGAGTTGTCCGAGCTCTATAATGCACACCACTCAACTTGCTAGGAGTGAAAAATCTGAACCCGAGGTAACTTATGCAAACTAATTAAACGGCTCCCCTTTACCAAATGCTTATTAAGTATATTTTCAAACTATATTTAGTTTCTTTTACTTAACTAGGGTCCATGCATTGAAATACACTGGCTACGGAATCCTGGCAATTTCCATGTCAGCTACCCTTTTTTCTTTTATAATGGGCTTTTTCCTGTTTATCAATTGTCAATTATGTTAGCCTAAGAGTCGTGTTTTGTAATAACCTACATATAGGTTCAATGCTAATTCACAGTATCATCATGTTGTTGATGTGGCCAGTTACAAATTAAATCTCATTGGTGTTTGATAAGAGCATCTAAAAAAACAACGGGATGGTATACTTCTCTAGTAGGAGATATAATAGGAATATGGGCTAGAAATTATAAAGCGGTGACTTATATAGTAGGAATATGGCCTAGAAACTATAAAGCGGACTTAAGTCTATAAGTAACTGCAAATGAAAGTTGAGCAACAGTGCATGTTGTGCCTTATAATTTGCCCAGGATCATTCTAACCTATGTTGCATGGATACAGGTACGGGTACGGGAGGTGGTATGGGTGCGGGTACGAGATACGACAAATTTCTAAAAAGTACGGCACGAGGACCTGGCTGTATAAATATTTTTATACACATATTATATACTGGAATTGGTAATTTATATGAGAGCAGGGATGAGAATTAAAAGTCCTATAACAATTTTATGTTTCCTTTATTATGTGAGTTATAAATTGGAAAATCACTAGTTTTTGAATTAGAAATCCAAACAACCATTCAAAATCATAATTTTATACCTAAACTATGTCCAACGAGTTTCAAGAAGTGAGTGTGTAGTGTAGGATATGTCCAAAAAATATATGACAAATATTTTAAATTAAAACATGTATTGTACAACTGAGTGCATGCCCCTATAAATGTATGCATATATGAAGGAATGTCCAAAGAGTTTGGGTACGGGTACGGGTACATGTCGAGTATGGGTACGGCTTCAGATTAGTAGTACCCAAGTAATATAGTTTCTAACACAGAAGACAACAGACGACTCTTCTTAAGTTTTAGTTTGATAGCTTATCATATATATCTTTTAGTCACATATGAAGAATTAATTAAACTGTTACCTTTAAGAAGCGCCTTCTAAATGGACCCTGTTCACCGCAAAATGCTATTATCTCATTCAAATGCTGTAATGAGTTAACAGATTCTATCAGTATTGAAAAAAATGTAAATTCTCCATATGTAATTATATGAAAACTATACTAATGCCTAGTTGATAAGTGTACTTCCTCTTAAAGAAGCTCCATGATAGCACTGCATAGCTCGTCACATTGGATGCAGATCACAGTGGGTAGACTAGCATTTTTTTGGTATTCTTACTACTACTAGTTTGCGGTCCGTGCAAAGCACGATATTTTTTGCTACAGTAATCCCGCTTTTTTAAATATGACATGTTTTGAATTTTCGGTAGTGCTACAGTATCCCGCCCTGCTACAATATCTTTTAAACGTTACAGTATACCCGTGGGCTATAATATTATTTTTTAATTAGTTATTAGCCACAGTAATAATGCTACAGTAAATACTACTGTAGCATGAACATTGAATCTCTGATCCTCCTATTTGTATAAAGGAATAGATTATATTATCTAACACTTGAGGAATTATACATGGTAGTATGAGACAGAAATGCAAAAGGAGTACAGGATGTAGGGATAAGAGCAACATGGATTTACCCAAGCTGGATGGTGATAAAATAGAATTAAGAGTTGTGAGTTGTTGCTGGAAGAAACTGGAAGGGGCATTAGGATGTTGTTGGGGGCATACATTTGTGTGGCTATTTTTCTGGAAATAGAAATGAAAATTTGCTTACAGGTTTTGCAAATAATGAAAGAAAAAGGAGGGGGAAAAAAAATCTGGTGGGTTTATTATCACAAAGAATAATAGGAAAATAAGTATCAAGGACCTGCTCTTGATAACTGTCAATATTTTTGAAAACTTTGAAATGTCTAGGCAAACATGAGCTGCTTCCAATGACTCACCATGTCAAAAATGAGTTCATTGACCACTTAAGCATAATAACTGGTGACGAGAATCTGTTAGATTAAAATGGATCAGATTAGAACTCGACCCAAGTTCATCTCAGATAAAACAGCGAGATTGCGATTTTGAATCTTTGGCAAAAAAATCCTTCCCAAATCGATGCTTAAAAAACAGCTGCATGCCGCTTAGGTGCCTGAGGGCTATGGTTACTGGCTATAAGCACCTAGCTCTTTCTAAAACATTGAATCCCACTTACATAAAAGGGCACAGTTTAAATTGATTGCTAAATTTGAATTAACTGGCCAACTTAAGTGTCTAGTGTTCCACAGTGAACTTTGGTAAACATTAGCTATTCACTTTGAAATTTTACGCAGGTTTCATGTATTAATGTGTAAATATGTGGTCTCTCTTTGATCTTTACTGACAACATAGATGGATTCTCTTCTTGCATTTTGAACACACCTTTTTGGACAGCTTAAACATAATTCTTGATCAGGTTGTAAGTATGGATATGTTTATAAGTGGACATTGATTAAAGTAAAAAAGTGAGCTTATTTTTTTCTTTAGCCCCCTAAAGATCAGAGCTACATTGACAATTATTATTTTTCATTATTTTTTGAGAGAAGTATCTTCTTGTTACATAATGAGGTCACATGAAATCAACTTGTGTACCTTAAGGATTTGTGAACGTTTTGGCACCTGGCTGGGATATGTATATAACAACTATTCCTCCTTAGCAGTTGATCGTCATGGATCAACTTATTATAGTGCTCTTTAAATGTCAACATCATAGCTTTGGCATGGCAAACAAACAAACACTTGAAGACTTGCGCGCGCGTACACACATGAGAAGTGCTGAATGGACTAAATGTTAAATGTGAAGCCCAGTTCAAATGGTATATATCTGCATCTTTTGAATTTAAATATTCTGATATGAAGTTAGTATTCAACTGAACTATAGATAAGTATTTGCAAGCTTTTATGTTGCCATACTAGCAGTTATAGAATGGCAAAATGTGTAAAGACATGCAATATTCATAGGGGAAATCAGTATCTGGAAAAACTGAATTTATTGCATTTTTGGAAATCTTTCAACTTAACGCTTTTATTGTGCAAATGAAGTTATACTTGTGGGCTTCTCAAATTTGTGTTTTTACAGATGGTTTCCTTTTTCTCTTTGTTAGGCAGCAAGTGTTTGTTTGTATTTGCACCACGTCTTTTACCTGATGGATGCTATAGCATTACATGAAACTCAAAGGAATCTTTGCCAGGAGAGCAATACAGTCATGGAAAAGGAAGCTCAGAGAAGTGAACAGCGACAGAAATGGAAGAAAGTGGCTTATGGAGGAATGCAACCTGGGTACGATGACAACTACACCGATGAATCATTCCTCGAAGACATGGTGATGAATGCTAATGTGGTGAAGAGAGATTTTCTTAGAGTGATGCTAGATTCCATATCTATTTCCGAATATCTTTGCATTGTTTCTCTCGTGGTCATAGTATGGACCCATACACTTTCCTCTATCATTGATGCGGCCACTCTCCTATCACTGGATGCCATTCTCCTATTCTCAGGTTTCGCTATAATCTTGCTAACAACAAGCCAACTCTCCGTCCAACTTCTCTCTCATTATCTTCTTAAAGTCTCATTCTTCATCAGCGGATTGTACATCTTAGCCCCAATTTATCATACTCTCACTAGGTCCATCAGTTCAGATTCCATTTGGGCTTTGTCCGCATCAATTCTAATAGTGCACCTCTTTTTGCATGATTATTCTGGCTGCACTATAAGACCACCAGGATCTCAGAACAACCCAACCCTGGTCAGTAATATCTCTTTGAATGCTTCAATAGTATGCTCAGTTCTTGTGGCCTCTCGCCTCCCATCAAGGCTTCAAGTGTTTGGAGTAATGCTGTTCTCTCTTGAGATATTTCTTTTTGCACCACTTGTTGCATTTTGTATTAGGCAGTATTCTTTTAAGCTGCATCTGTGCTTTTCATTCATGATTATGGGCGTGACGTTGGGTGTTGTATACACAATGCATCGCTTGCTTTTTATACTCTTGTTGGGTCTTCTGATTTTTGTTTCTGTCGTTTGCCCTTACTGGCTTATAAGGATACAAGAATACAAGTTTGAGATAAATGGTCCTTGGGATGAAGCTAAGCTTTGTTTTGATATAACAGAGTAAAGCATCCCCCCCCCTCCAAACCAAATGTGTTTATAATTATGAGAGATAAAGCTGGCCCCTGTACTTATATGATCACTTGATGGCGTTCGAACTTTTGTACTTGTGCAGCATTTTGGTTCATTTATATCAAAGATTTTTTGAGCATTTATTTTTCCTATATCTAAACTCCCTCCTATTTGTGATATGCCTCTCTTCGACTTGTTTCTCTTGCATCCAGACTATACGAAGTAGATGATTATCTTTGGTGAGCTTCCACCAAAACGATCATGCCAGTTGGATGCTATTAGCTTCATTGTTCACATTTGCCAGGTTTTTCTCCCAAAAACGTCCTCTATTTAGAAACTCCTTTTGGCAATATATTTCTTTTGAGTTTTGACTTGTATTAGTAAGGCTCTGCTTGTGTGGGTTTAGCGGCTGTGGTTTCTCCTCAACTTTATGGCGTTACGCCAAGTATTTTGCATGTTTATCTTGATTTGTGTTTCTCTGTAATTAAACCTATACACAAATGCAACAACTATTTATTTTGAATCCTTTTCGTTTATTGTTTATTTTTTGTTCGATCAGTAAAACCCAGCGGGCTAAATTTCTTGTAAACCTCAAATATTGTCTGTACTGTATTTTGAAGCTAGCTGACGGCCATATACTTCAATAATCTCAGAACCTTGGTTGTATATGAAGCTAAACTGTGCTGAAATAACCTCTTGTTGTGAAAAGCTTTCTTGTCGGTTGTTTCCCTTGCAATAAATTCGATATAGAAACACCAAACTTCCCCTGGTGTTTAATTGTTCTTGCGAATCTAGTTGCTGTAAGGATTGTCAATACTTGTTTAGATGGTTTGGTCCTGGTTAAGAATAAGAAGCCACTCTTCTTTTGACAGTATCCTGCACATCTGCAAAACATTCAATTTCATAGGTACGCCATTTTGTTCCCATTAATCTTCTGGTCTGAAGTTTTTTTTTTAATTTTAACAAAGATGAATACAGCCTGCAAAGCATGTTGGAGTTTTGTTTGTCTTGAATTTAAGAAAAGGAGTCGATGAGACCAGCAGAGCTTTGGAAGACTTAAGAACCAGAAATTCAGAAACATATCCAGTTCGTCCTTCAATTTCTAGGGGAAGATAAGAATGTCATCAAGTTTCGTGAATTTCACTAGTAGACTGAGATCAATATGGACTAATACCAAATTATTGACAGAAACACCCTCTACGTGGTGGTGGAAGGAAGACCCAGAAGGGAGATAGAGAAAGCCAAGAGAATGTTCATTTCCTAAAACGAGTCATACGTACACCAGTCGTTTCCCGTTGCTCTCAAAGGCGAGTAAGGTGTTGCGATGAGCTGGAGATCGACTCAGCCTTCCAATAGTAACTCCTGGAGCTTCCTCCATGTCCGTACCTTCTCTCCTCATTCCACCATGCATTTCCCAATCGAAAGTGATACACGATAAGCACCTGCGCGACTTTGATAACGGATATCACAAATTGCTTCCGATGGGCAATTGTTTCCCTGGGCAAGCCCATCGGTCTATACCGTAGGTGTCGAACTGGAAACCTTTTCCTTTCTGATCCATCAAACTGTTCAAGTGTCTCTTACTTTGGTCAAAACTCATCGGGAGCCTTTCAGTACTTGGTGTCTCTAGCAATAAGCCCATGCCTTTACAATGACTCTTGTTACCTGGGGATTTTATAGCCCCGACCCCGAGTATTCTGCATTGCCTGTGTCGACGGAACAAGCAATTGAGTGGACCGATGCAGTCGCAGGGTCTCTTTTCATGACCTGGAGATCTTACATTGCTTTGTAGTTGTTTCATGATGACTTCCGGGTTTCCATGAGCTCTACCATGGCTCATTTCATGACCAGTATTTTGGTTATGGTTCCTGGACCGAACATGTCCTGAACTTCTTATGCTTCTGAAAAGAGACCAAAGCATGAATGAAGGGTTAGTATTTAGGCGCCTGACGTATCGATTAACCTTCAACACTACCACAATCCTCGATGATCTGGTTGAGGGTTTTATACATTGACCTGAATCAATACAATGCCTTCTCTACGCGCTCATCTAACCCATAAAGTCTGCTCAACCATGGAAGCTATGGGAACTAACCCGCAAATGAACGCTCCAAGAAGAGAATCGGTCGGTGTCACGCCCCAAAACTGCAACGGAAATTCATAAATACGGGTTACGAGACAGCAGCGATCCATGCACAAGACAAGTTCCATGCGCGAGTCAAGCCTGACACTTATATCACATAGTTTATCTCAAAGTACTTATAAACCTGCTGATGATAGCAGATTAAGCACTTCTCAACCATGCCCACGATCAAAATTTTGGATTATCACTTTTCTAACTCAGATCTGAAACAAATTGAAAAACAACGGAATGAGATAAAAAGCTCAGTGAGAATATTTCCCACTAGAGTTCCTAAATAACTAATAAAATAATAGTAAGAATAATTCCCAGAATAACGAATTATAAGTTTTGCATCAGAAATTCAAAATAGCAAAATACGATCCAAATATCATAATATTGTAATCTTCAAGAAAGAATGCAACAATTATATTTTCTTTCTTATGTGCAACTGAATATACTGTGATATTTTTTGGAATAAAACCCCTTTTGAATCAAGGTAAACATTAAGAAAGAAAAGAACTACTAATTTGTACAAAACCATAAGATTATTATTTTCTCAATTTCACAGTCAATTGTCAGAATCTTAATTCTCGATGAGTTATTCGTGAATGTAAAAGTCACCTCATAGGCCACACTAAGGTTACGAATTATAACCCAGTAGCAAGGGAATGCGTAAAACACATCACATAACAGATAGTTCCCGGAAATCGAATGCACCTAACACTGTCATAGGTTACTGGCCAAATACAGAGAGGCCAGAATAAATTTCAGAAGGGCCAATACAGAAGGACCAATACAGAGGGGCCAAATAAAGGTACATTCACCATATGGCAGGCAGAAACAATCCATAGTGGATTTTTTGAGGGTTTGAAAACATCGAGATCACATGTCAAATGAGTAATACCTTGCATATCAGAATTTACAGATATTTTCAAATAAAGTGGACAATGTAAAACTCCTTATTTCAGTTAAAACAGTTTACGAATTTTCACTTTTCTTTATTTTTATCAGATACTAAGTCACGGAAAATCTTTAAATCCGTTAAACTGTTAAAATACATTCCAAATACTTCATCAAAAACTTTCAGATAAAACAATGCCCACAATTATTTGAAATTGCATGAGAGCCAAATTCAGTTTTCTTATTTTACATAAAAAAAATCAAATTTGCTTTTCATATCTTGTACGAGGCTAACATCGTATTATAGGATAGACCACAACAGGAATAAATCAAATCTTTATATACATGAAAATAATATATTATTTATTTTTGATCACAAGATAAATCAAATATCACACTCATGCAATTTCATATTATAAAATACTAGTGAGAAATGAACTCACCTCTACGGAGTACAACTTTATCAAAATATTACTTTCCAGATATCAAATCTGAACCTATAATATAGAATAATAAGACTAATATTAGTTCACGATAATACATATTATAAGTTAATCGATTCATATTCTAGAGTTAATAATTTCAAATATAATCCCTAACAATTTAAAATCCATAAATAGGGTAGATATGGATTTATTTCTAACTTATGATGAGGCAGGGGGTTATAGGTAATTAATCTAGGCCAAAAGTGATCTCTTAATCTACAAATTGGACTTATTTGTAAACAAAGCAAATAACAGGGGTCTATACAAAGTTATCCTATCCATATACGATCTTAGATTTCTCTGTTAGGGTTCATTTGCAAATTTTTAAACTTTTAGGGGTCCTAAAGATATTTTTATTCCTCTTGAACCCATATACAAACTAAAAATATATTAGGGGTCCCAAAATAATTTTGCTTCCGATATCTCTCTCCTCCTCTCTCGCTCTCTCTTGCTCTCTCTCTCTCTCTCTCTCTCTCTCTCTCTCTCTCTCTCTCCTTTCTCTCTCTCCCTCTCCCGCTCTCTCTCTCTCTCTCTCTCTCTCTCTCTCTCTCTCTCTCTCTCTGTTCTTTTTCTCTTTCTTTCTTGTGGCTACTCGGCAGGGTCACCTCTTGTGCCACCGCCAGAGGGATCTTTTGCAACGAGGCTCCCTGACGATTGGGGTCGCTGACAACCCCCGCCGGCGGTGAGGTAAGTTCTCTCTTTCTCTCTCTATTTTTTATTTCCTTAACCAAAACCCTAAGAAGATTAAGGAGAACAAACGTTTTACCTTTGGCTTCCTCTTTTCTTTTCCTCCTCTTCTTCTTCTTCTGCTCACTCTCTTCTCTTTTTTTTTCTTAGCCTGAATTTCCCCCTTCTTTCCTTTTTAAAGCAATGTATGGTTGTCGATAGGCGGTGGAGTGGAAATTAATTAAAAAACTAAAAAAGGTACGGCAGTGATAAACATTGATACAGTAAGGCGGTGAGGAATAATGAGTTTTTTTATTTAGGGCTCTTACACTCTCCCCTCCTAATAAAAAGTTTTTTCCTCGAAACTTAACATACCTTAATCTCCAAGGAGCTCTGGATATTTCTCTCACATAGAATCTTCAATTTCCCAATTAGTTTCTTTTTCTGAATGGTTCTTCCATCGTACTTTCACATATTTGATGGTTTGACACTTGTTCCTTAAAATCCACAATGCTCTCATGTTTCTCTTCATAAGTCAAGTCAGGTTTGAGGTCCACTAAAGATAATTTGATTATCTCATTTGGATCTCAGATGAACTTTCACAGAATTGATACGTGAAATACGTGATCCCAGATAGAGATGACGGTAACGCTAATTTATATGCCACTGAACCAAACCTTTCTAGAATCTCAAAAGGACCAACGAGTCTCAGGCTTAACTTCTCTTGGATTCCAAATCTTTTCACTCCTCAAGTAGGCCAAACCTTCAAGAAAACATGACCACCCACCTAAAATTCCAATTCTCTTCTTCTTTGGTCAACATAACTCTTCTGACGACTTTGTGCAGTGCGAAGATGTATACAAACTAATTGAATTTTATCAATTACTTGTTGTACCAATTCTAGTCCGAGAAATTTTCTTTTTTCCAACATCGTCCCAATAGATAGGAGATCAGCACTTTCTTCCATAAAGAAATTCATATGGTGCCATATGAACACTAGTTTGATATCTTATATGCAAATTCAGAGGTAAACTTCCTACAGTCCTTTCATTTCTAGTACACAACACCGCAACATATCTTTCGGTATTTGAATTGTCCTTTCTGATTGGCCGTCCGTTTATGGATGGTAAGCTGAGCTAAAATTTAGTTTAGTTTGTAGAGCTCTTTGTACACTTTTCCAATATTTTTATGTGAACTTAGGGTCTCTATCCGAGACTATTGATATGAGTATTCCATGCAACCTCACTATCCCATTGATGTATAGTTTAGTCAGCTAATCTAATAAAAATTTTATATTTATAGGTAAAAAAAAAAAATGCTGACTTAGTCAGTCGATCAACAATCACCCATATCCCATCATTCTTCTTTAAAGTCTTGGGAACACCAGTGATGAATTCTATAGTGGTATATCCAAAATTTGGACTAAATCGGTTGGTCTTTGGTGTTCAGCCTTTACTTGTTGACAAGTAAGACATTTT